AAACGAGCCAATGCTCATTACCGAGAAGGGCTGGAGAGTGAATGCTGCTGCCCCAGAGGGAAATATTCTCCCTGGTCTGAATGCCTTTGAAGGGCCCCGTTGCCTGGGAGCCTCCAGGAGCTCAGGGCTGATGGGGAAAAGCCCCAAATGTCGCATTTTGTGCTGAATATGCTGCTTGTTTGGTGGGGGGGACAAGAAGAATTGCACCGTTGCTCAGCAGGAGGGCAAAGTGCCAGTGGGTGCACCCCTTCGCTGGGCACCCATCATGGGGCTGGCGGGGTGCTCAGCCCTTGAACCGTGATGCTTGCACATGCTGTCACACGGGGGTGACGCCAGACTGAGCCCCCAGAGCACACTGCCTCCCTGCCACGTGCCCAGAGGTGACATGAGCTTACAGCAGCATGGGCTGGGGAGGTGCCTGCTATTCCCCCAAGACCCCCGCCATCATCCCTGCTGCTGTTCATAAAAATCACAGAATGGTTTGGGTTGGAAAGGACCTTAAAGATCATCGAGTTTCACCCCCCTGCCATGGGCAGGGACACCTCCCACTAGCCCAGGTTGCTCAAAGCCTCATCCAGCCCTACACCCCCTGACCAGGAGTCCCTCCCCATCTCTCCTGCAGCCCCCTTTCAGCACTGGAAGCTGCTCTAAGGTGTCCCTGGAGCTTCTCTTCTCCAGGCTAAATAAGCCCAACCTTTCTCGCCAGGTTTGCTGTACTCACCACGCAGTAAGCCACCAGGGCTCCCTGGGCAAAGCCCGCCAGCACGTCGCTGGGATGATGCTTGTGGTCCGACACGCGGGACAGACCGGTGTAAAACGCCATCATGACGAGGGTGAACTGGAGGAGGGGACGGAGCAGGCGGGCTCCCTTCCACGTGAATCTGGCCTGCAGATAAAACTGTGGGGAAGAGAGGAAAACAAAAATGTTGTGTTAATTTGGGAGAAGCAAAGGAGAAGCTGCAGCCAAAATGTGCATGTGTGGCACTAACCACTCGGTGGGGCTGGCCATGGGGCACCTGCACCCCTGTGGCTCAAGGAAGGGGGGAACTGTAGAAGAAGGATGCTCTTTGCAAACGTGTGGCCTCTGTCATGCAAAGGGAAGTGGAGATGGGGGGATTTTAACCTATGGAGGGTGTGCAGGCAGAGGTGGATAGGTACAGCCCTTCCTTCGTGAGCCAGGGTTGGGGGCTTGGGACCCTCTGCATCCCAGCTCATACCACAACTCCGTTTCAGGCTCCACACAACATCCAATCAACCTGAGTAAGGAAATTCTTCCCCGCTGCTATTTAGCGCGTAACAGAAGCAAGGTCCCAAATTTGCGGCATGCAGGACCCACAGCATCTCTCAGATGAAAACCAGGAATCACCGCAGCACACCACACCTCCAGAGCCAGCCCCAAGGATTTCCAGGCACAGCTGCAACTGCTGACAACATGGATGCAAAATGCATTCCTCTAACACTGCCATCGTGTTCCCGAGACCCGGGGTCTGCAGGGTCATAGGGACCAGCCACCCCACCCCACGGCACGGGAAGTCACCCCTACCCAGTGAGGGGAAAGCAGGGTCCTGGCTTGACCTAAAGAGCCGAAGCTGACATGACGTCAAACGGGCATTGTCCCCTCCCCATGACTATCACGGGTCTGTTTCCGTTTCGGCCGGTGGGCACGGCTGGTTCCTGTGGGAACCGGGAAGCGGGGTGGGAAGAGGACAGGAAAACGGGAACCCGCTGCTCACGGATGAGCGGGGCCAGGCGCCGCGCGGGGAGGAAGGCTGCGGGAAGGGAGGGACGCCACAGCAGCCTTCGGGACTGGGGAGGATAGAGGCACTTGATGGCTTGAAGAGTGTAAAAGTGCCTGGAAAACACCGCGTGGCTCCTGGAGCTCGAATCCGCTGCCCATGGGGCTCAGCCGCAGCAGGGCTTTTCTGGCTGTTGCTAAATGAAGCACTGGAAGTCAGACTCAGCAACATCAGAGGGCTGGAAAGGGGTTTAATACCCATTTACGATCCCTTTTACACACCCAGAGCAGTTTACACTGCCTTGATATAAAGAGAATGAAGCTCTCGCTGCGTTCTTGAAACTACAAATAACTTAATGACACCATTTACCTATAAAAGCAGAATTAACTGGAAAGCTGATAAGGGGGAAGCATCATTTTAGCCAATTTAGTATGTTTGGCTGTTGCATAAACAGTATTATTTACTCCTTTTTGGAAAGAACACACACTGGGCTCTTTAGAGGAAATGAAACATCATGTCATTTGAATGGAGCAGATGCTCCAAATTATCCAAATTGTTAGCCAATTAACATGGAAGAGAGCAGAACCAAAACAGCTCAGCGCTGGCTAATGCACATGACAATTCTGGGGAATATATCTGCAAACCAGCCCGAATCTGGGAACAGAGCCACATCACCACAGCACACACCCCACACCACGCAAACTTGTGCACGCGATGCTACGGGACCAGTCACAGCTCTCCAGGTCCCCACGGCAAACCCACACTGATGGAACCCAGCACATGGACCGCTGGGCTGGTTCTCTAGTTCATGATGACAATTTCTATGATTGGGAGAAAAATCAGTCAACAATCAATGTTACAAAAATTAAGAGGCATGTTCTGCCCAAAAGGATCTAAAAAAAATAACAAAAAACCACCACCAATGTGGAGGTGCTTTCCCTCCCACCGCTCAGCTGGAAGGCTGGAGCTGTAAAAAACTCCATCCTGCACAGTCACTTGCAGTGATTTAACAGCAGGTACTTCATCCTGCAAGCAAATATCTCTGCGGTTCATTAGCAGGGAGCTGCATTTTTCGTTTGCAATGCTTAGGCTGGATGAATTTTCATTGCCACGGTATTTATGCATCCAGTGATCTGCCACTGAGAATAAACCGTGCAGGCAGGGTACTCCTGGGAAGTATACAGGGAAGGTTGTGATAGAGACCTGGAGACCCTGATATCTTTTAAATACAACTTCTCAAAGCAGGGACAGTGTCCCTGGAAAAAACAGCATTTGTGGGGATTAGCATTTTTAAAACACACAACAGATATAAAATGTTTCTGTTGCCATGGTTTAGGTTTCGGATTATTTTCAGGTTCAAGAGTCTCAGCCCAGCCCAGGTGACAGTGCAAAACTCAGGTTCCAGTATGTTGTTACAGAGCAAAATTACCTCCAAGTACTACATCTTATAAACCATTACTCCTAGTTCCACCAGGAAGACTTGAAACCTAATGTCTTACTTTAGTCTCGAGGCTCTGCCACATCAAACCCCTCAAGAAAAAAATCTGCTGCTGGGTAATCTGACATTTGTCCCTTTTGGACAGCCTTGACATCCCCTCAATTCGTTATATCCCACAAGCTTGGACTAAATTTGTCATCTACAAATGAGGATGCAAAGAATCAGTTAAAAATCAGCAATAAAACCCTAACACTGAGTTTGAACATGCAAAAAAGTGGACAGTTTTGGGGCTGACGCAACTAAAGCCACTTCTTCCAAATCACAGCTCTGAACTGTGCCTAATGTACAGGCTTGAGCCCTGGAAAAGGTGTGCAAAGGCAGCGTGGCACCATCAGGGTGTGCTGGGTGCCACCCCAGTCCCCAGCACCCAACTCACACCCACACCTGCACATCTTGGAGGAGTAAAACCCACCGGAACAGATCATCTCAGCCACCACACTATCAATGCGAGGATCTTGACTGAGCTGCTTTTATGGCTGCAATAAAAGTCCTGGAAAAGTTGCTCTTTAGTTCTCCATTCATAAGCAAAAAAAGACAACAGCACTTTTCATATTCCACGTGTCTATTATAAGAATGCAGTACATCAGAGACCAGGGTGCTGGGATCCCATAAGTACTTTAAAGGCAACCCTCAGGGTGCTCCAAACTTTACTTCTTCCTTCAGTATGAAAGAAAAACCTAGTTCAGAAGAGAAAGCCAAAAACTGAAAGGGGGGGCATGGAGGCTGAAAGGACCAGAATTTCCCTAAAAAGGGAATTAGTGCTATTACTAAGGAATGGGAAGTTCCTGGGAATTTATCTGAAAACTGGCTTTCGAAGGAGTTTTTTGGAAATCTAGGAAGCAAATCTGAAGTGCTTCCTGCTAAGGACTGACAGATTTGGATGGGAACGTGGGACTGGATGAGGGAGAGAATGGAGGAACAAGACCACAACCAGGGTTATTTCCATCACAGGGCAGCAAAAGTCAGGAGGAACATCAGCAGGAGTGAGGGTGGATGAAATGAAATGGGATCACACAGAGGAGGAGGAGTTATTTGGAGCTTCCATTCACCGTCTCCTGGCAGAGGCTGAGTTACCACAAAGCAGATGGCTTGAAGAACATCACATTGCTCTTTTTCTGCCAGGGGACTTCCACACTGCTGGTGGGGACAGCCCACAGCCACACACAACCCCTGAGCAAACCCATTGAGGAGGAGCTGGCAGGGGACATGGGCTAAAAGCGTCACCTCCAGCCTCCTGGGGCTTTCTGACACCCAGAGTTCCATCCTCTTCACACTCTCCCCACCACAAGGCTGAACACCATCAACCACGTCCCTTAGTCACCACTAAGGTTTCCTTCTGGGAAATGGCTGGGCTTGTTTCTGACCTGAAGTTACCTCCATCTCCAGCCCTGTCTGCAAACAGAGTGGTACCCAAAGTGATACGGGACCAAAACCCCTCAAACCTGAGCTCACCGTGGCGTAACGCCCTGCCCTGGCTGGGCAAAACCAGCCGGAGGAAGGGGAACTGCAGAATCCAGCTTTTAGCAGCAAGATGGCCAGGGGACAAGGACAGGAGAAGGGCAAAGACCTCCCAGCACCAAAGGGATGTGTTGTTTGCCTCTTTCCTGCCTTTGCCAGGTGTGCAGCATCTTCCACCCTATTGGGAATATCCCCATCATCTCAGCCCTGGCCTCTAATGGAACTCCAGTTTATTCGCTTACTCAGATCACCACTAAACTTGACTCCAAGTCCACAACTACCACGGAGTTTTCTTCACATGGGCACGTCATCGCTCAGCAGCACGAGGGCACTGGGACCTTCTCCATGCTTCAGCAAGAAACCCCAGTGCAAAGCTTCACACCCACCCAGACACGCAAAACCAGCAACACCTCTAATTTTTCGTATGAGTAAAACACACTAAAACCCATTCTGATGGGAAGTCTTCAACCTCATCCACCAACGCACATTAAATACACCGTCCTGTTTTACTCCGGAATCAGCCAACATTGCTGAGGGATACTAATTTAGCTTTTTAATATTAATTTAGTTTTTCTGCATCCTCTGTGTAGTTTCAGGCAACTTTGTGTCGTAAGAAAAATAATCAGTGGTATGGTCTCGTGTGCTTGAGGGGAAGGGAAAGGCCCCATCGCTCTCTGCAAAGACTCCCCATGTCCAGCGAAACAAAACCAAGAGGTGTGGGTCAGGTCCAGAGGAATGAGCTGTTACATACCTCCTCTTTCCTCAGCCTGCTATAAATATGTATTATAGGCTCGCTCAGCCAAGGAGTAACAAAGCAAGGAAAATTAAGACAAAGAGGATTACCAAAGCGTAATTTCCCCTTTTTAAATTTTTTATACAAAGGCCTGATGTTAATTGGGTATTCTTGGTGACAAAAAGCCTGCGAGAAACTTAGCCCTGAAGTTTTAGTGTTTAGAACTAAATCCCAGGAGATTTTACTGTGTTGCAAGTGCCTTTCCCTGTGACTTTTCCCCCAAAGCCCTCTGGGGCTTGGCATCCATCCGTGTTTTCCTACCGGGAACCCAAGGCCAAACTGCTTCTCCCTCATGGATGGGTCACGGCACTGTTGCTGGGATGGGGAAGACGTGGTCAACCATCCACTGGCCACCAAACACTTGGGAAAATCCAGCCCCACGGTGCAGGCGAAGCCCTGTGGGATGCGTGGGAATCCAGGTATCTTTTAATACACAGACTAAAGATTTCTGGCACCCGTCTCCATCAGGTGAGGCAAACTTGAAAACATTATAATTCAGAATGGGCTCTACGAGCGAAGCCAGGGAATGCCAGGAAAGACGGGAAGTGACTTATCCTTGAAACACGAGGTATTGTTCAACAGGGAATGTGTTCAGGATGCGGCTGAGCAGCCAAGCCTCTGCAGCACTCGCTCAGCCCCACAAACACCCCCAACTCTGCAAAGGCTCCTGGCAAACTCCCGGCACCCAAAGCACCAGCAGCAACCTGCTATGGCACAGCCCTTGCTTCCCAGGAACTGGAGAATAACCATTTTGTTTTGATTGAGGTGATTCCCTGATTAAATCCATCAAACCCACCTCCTGCAGGTGCTGGCATGGTGGATGCCATGTTTCTAACAAGGCTTCCAAAAACCCAATCAATCACTGAGCTGGACAAGACAGTGGGGTTTATTTTGCATTAAATAAAATCCCTCTGAGTTACTGAAACCTCTTTTTATTTTTTCTTTTTCTTTTTTTTTCTTTTTTCTTTTTTTTTTTTTTCCAGTATGATCAGCCTTTCCAACATGACAGCTTTTCTGCCTCCCTTTTTCTACAAGATTTCTTTCAGTGGCCAGGGACCTGGAGTGATGGAGAGCAGGGTAGTGTGAGTCAAGTTAGAGTCATTTAAGTTGGAAAAGACCCTTAAGATCATAATTTCCTCACCTCCAATACACACCACATCACACTGCCTTGGCTCAAGTTGCCTTTTTCTCCCTTCAATTTATGACCAAACACTTGGTATAATTTTTTCTCTCTTTTTAAGGCACAAGGCAACTGAGCAACTGGTCAAATGGAGCCTGCTACCAACCTCATCCCAGTTTTGGGACACAGAAAAATAGAAAATAAAATCATTCTTAAGGGATTGGGGCTCAAAGCCTCTCCATGGAGAGGGATAAGTGGAACAGCCTGATGTCCCGGATCAGGGGAGAGAGGGGCAGAGGCTGCTGAGCGCCGATAGCTCACGTGCTCCCATATGGGGACAGGGAAGAGCAGCAAAGAGAGATCAGAGGCAGCTTTCTGCTCTGAAGCATTACACAGGAGCTAAATGCCACTTTTGAAGCCTGATGGAAAGTTAAAATCAGGTGGCAGGCATTGGTACAAAACAGCACTGGAAGCTGAGCCATGGGAATATTCCATGCCTACTGCAGTTTTGGGGTCTCCAGTGCACCCCCACCACCAGCCCCCCCCAGGCACCGGCATTCCCCTTTGTTTCTCACTTGCTCCACTGGCTTTTCAGAAAAACATGGAAAAAAAACAAGCTGGTGAAGCAACATGGTCTGCCCAGTGCCCTGCAGAAACAGGGTCAAGCCCTGGTGACTTTGGGTGGCCACTGCCAAAGTGAAGGGGGTGGAAATGTGGGGAGGGGGCAAGCTCTTGTCCAGCTGAGCACAGCCCCCCCAGTTTGTCCTCTACCCTGAAGGATGCTGCAGGGCACAATCCTGTGCAAAAGGTCAAAGCATTGGGCTTGGCTTCCAAAAAAGGGTCCTGAAGCAGCATCTCCTAAAATAACACCTGGAAGGACAACCTAAATCTTGCCGAGGATTTGGAGAGAAACCACCACCGACTTAATAGAGACTGGCAGTTTTTGCTGTTTCCAGATGCCAGGCTTGAAAGCATCCCAGGGCTGACTTATCTGACTGCCCGCACATCTCCTTGCAAATCAATAAACGTCGGTGTGAGGATGGGTTCCAAACGCAGCTCCAAAAGTTTTGTGAAGGCAGTGGCAGAGCGCTGAGCCTCCTGCAAAGCATAGCCGGGGTGGCTCTGCCTTGTAACATGTCTGGGAGGAAACGGCCAAAATGCTTACTGAATAAATTCTAACGTTTTCCAAGGATAAAATTAAAATAAGGGGGGAAGCACAGAAAGAATTTAATACACTGCCCCCAACAGCCTGGAAAGCTTAGTAATGAAATTACAGAAATTGCTCAGAGGGAGGGGGGATCCCGGGCTGAAAAAGCAGGAGGGAGCAGTGGTCATTTATCTTTTCACAGGGTAAAGTAAAGGGATGGGGGAAGCACTGCTCATAGATAAAAGCTGACGTTTAATGTTTTTATCAGTGCCATGCTGTTTCTTTGCTTGGTAGCCTGAGCTTACAGGAGATGGGGGGGTGGGAATCTTGAAAGGAATCCAAAACCTTTTTTCTGATTTAAAAAAAAAAAAAACAAAAAAAAAAAAAAACAAATATAAATCACTATCCAAACCTTCCCAAAATGCTGCGTGCGGGTCCAGCCCCTTTGGGGGTGCGGGCAGCGTGCCTCCCCCAGCCCCGGCAGGAAGAACCTTGGCAGCCGCCCCGGCCCCAGCCCCAGCGCAGGAAGGGTAGAGCCATTTCTCACTGACAAAGAAAAACAAGTCCCAACCCTCTGCTCCGGATCCAGGCGGGCAGAGGCTGCTCCACCTGCTCCATTGACACATTTGGGAACCATCCTTCACCCCCTCAACAGAGGCATGATGGCACATCTTTCACCCTCCATCAATACAACATTTTGGCTCGCCCCAAGTGGAAGCTTCAATGTGGGGTGAATAAAATTGCACAGATCATCCACCGATTTAGTAGGGTTCAGATTTAATTGCAGCCTTGGCTACATCCCAGAGCTGCAGAGGTCAGCTCTCACCCCAGGAGTCTCCATCCCAAATAACACCACAGGGGCTGACATTGGATCTCTCCACCACCGGCTTGTTCAGGCTCTTTTTTTTCAACTGACCCTCTATCTCTGATGCTTATCGCGTCGCTATTGCTACCAAAAGCAGGCGAGTGCTTTGGAAAAGGGGGATGGGATAAATCAGCTCAATGTCAAGCAAGGCTGAGGTTACTTACCACCAAATACAGCATGGTGTAGAGGGAGAAGGACGCGTGCCCGGAGAAGAAGGATTTCCTGCAAAACAAAGCAGGTGCTAAGAACCAGCCACTATAATCTTCTCACACAGTATTATAATCTTACACATAATATGGTGACTTGCTCGATGCTAGCAAGAGGGTACCCAAAGCAGAGGGAAACACAACCCCCAATCTTTCGGGTTATAAAACCCCAGCTATCCGCCCTGCTCGCTCAGGAGGCAGAAGGCGAGCGGATGGGCAGGATGCTCGCATTGTTCAGCCCTTCCTGGTCTACTCACGGGACAGCAGTTATTTCCAGGATAGCCCGATAACTCATCGTCTCGCCTCAAATAACCAGGAAACCGTAAAGAAATCAGAAGTAAGCAAGTTCTCTGGTCGCTTAATTGTGGTATGTGAAACACGCCCCTGGAAATGTCAAAATTGAGCATCTGATGGATTTGATAGATCGAAGGGGAGGTGTTGGCAGCCCTCTGCTCTGCATGGGACAGCTCGAGCTGTCACCATGAGCTCAGCTCTTAGGGTGACTTCCCACATTGAGCAACCGCTCTGGAAAACAATAGTGTAGGAGTAAAGAGAAAGGAAAAGATATATTTTTCAGCCAAGTCCCACAAATCCCAAGGGAAACTGGCAGACGGAGCTGCAGCCTTCGCAGAGAAAGCAGATTTTGAATCATCTATCGTTGGCAGAGAAATCCCAAGATGTATTTAGCATGAGACACCGTTTTGGCGGCGGCGACCCATGGCTTTGATGCCAGGGGCTCTCACCTGGCTTCCTGGACCTTGCTGTCGCTTCCCCTGCAGGTGTAGTTTTGGATGTAAACTCCCTTCGCGCAGTTGATGGTGGAGAAATCCAAATCGCAAACTTCCAGGAAATGCGGCCGCAAGCGCCCGACGGACACTTTGGCAATGTCTGTGAAGGACTGGCTGATGGCGCAGCCGAAAGCGAAGCAGCCCACCTGCTTGTAGAGCGCTGCCACGTAGGGGTTCTGGATAAAGGAGTGCGACTTCTCCTTCAGGTAGTGGACGCGGTAGAGCTCTCCCGTTATAATCTGTGGGGGAAAGGCAACAGAGAGGTCAGAGAGCAGGGAAGATGTTCTGCAAAACCAGCGATGGGTGGCTGACACAGCTCTTCGTGCTCTGAGCATCTTGAACCAGGAATCTGCTTCCACAGGGAGGAAGGAGAGCCTAGAGCTTAGCATCCCTCCATCCTCCTCCTCCTCCCTCTCATGAAGAGATAGCAGTGCTCAAAATGTTTACAGAAAAATTCCGTAAATAAGAAGAAACACCAAAGCTAGATTTTTGGTTTAGCACGTTGGCGTATCTTTACAGAAGTGAAATAGCGCCCCAGATCTATACCAGCATAGTGGAAAAAAAAAAACAACAAACAAACCCAAAACAAAAAACCAACATAAACCAGACAAAAGAATCAGCGTGTGTTTGGGAAGGAGAGGCCAGATCCACTACCCTCGTATCAAACCCATTTTGGAGGAAAACAAATGAACAACCTGCTTATCTACCTCTCTGAAAACCAACCAAGGAAGACTCAGAAAGCCCCAAAATTTTCAGATTCTGGCCCAAAATGTGCCACCACCAGACCCAATTCAAGCCGCTCAAAGCCTCTTTAAGCAGCAGCTCTTTTGGGCTGTTTCAAGGGGTCTTGCCATTGCGTGGCAGCAAATTATGTATTTCTTGTGAAATGCTGGTGTTTGACAATATCGCCGTAAATCACAGTCAGGGAGCAAAGGACCCGAGTTCTCATAATCCCGACTCTTAAAAGGCGGGTTAATGAAAATCAGGCTGTGAAATGAAGTCCAAATGTCTCACCTCTCCCAAAGAGGCAAAGGCTTAAATTGTTCTCCGTCACGTTACACACCTAGTTTTTGAGCTCCAGATTTACAGCTTTAGGATTTTATTCATTACTTTAAATGCGTTTATACCTGAGTAATAAATCGAGGCTTTTTTTTTTTTTTTTTGCATCCACCCCCTCGGCCCTGCCCCTCTCTAGCCACAAGGACTGTGATATATAAAATGAACTGTCAGGAAAAATACCTTCATGTTAATCCCTTTCTGGAGCTGCCAGCAATATTCCTCCCGGCGTGGCAGCCTGCCAGCAGCATGCAGGAGACAAGGCTCCCCTGCCTACCTTTTTTAAAAGCTTGGCACAACCTTTGGAAACTAATAAACTGGAAAAGTATGGCAATTAGACTAAGAGGAGATGAAGCTGTATCATTGTTTGAACGCACTCGTACCGTGCCTTGAAAAAAACAAGGTTGACCCAAGGCAGCTGAAACTGCAGTAACCAGGCTTTATCAAAGAGATACAACTAGAATAATAAAAAAATAAAGGCCAAGCTAGAGCACTCTGCTGCCATGCAGAGAAATACTCTGGGTGGCTGCGCCATCATTCGGCGTTTACGTGTCACCGCTGGGATTTACTCTTGGAAATCTGGTCGTGACCAAGAGTCATCTGGGGAGCTGCAGCTAACGGACTCCAGCATCACTTTAAACCTCTCAGACTCCAAAGACCATGGTTTATCTCCATTTTGGACCATTTTCCAGCACAAGCTGGCAGCCAGGAAATCTACTGGCATGAGAACCACAGAGGGAGGTTGAAACATCTCCTGCTCCCCTGGTAGGAGGCAACTGGATGGACATCCAGAAGCTGGATGGACACGGATGCTCCTGCGTGAAGTCACAGCCACCACCTGCAGCTTCCCCAAAGCCTAAATGCAGAAGGGGAACCACGAGGCTCAAAACTCAAGGCTTTTGCAGAGGGGAGACAAGAGGAATTAAGGATGCCATCCGATACTGGCAGATGTGCCATTACTCCAAACTCACAAACAAATCCACGTAAACCCAAGGCTCTTGGCCTGGGAAGGGCATGTGACCATTTTAAAGAGGGACCAACAAAAGTCTGGGGATTAATGTTTTTTTTCTCTCACTGTTGGTGGTCTGGGTAATTGCACAAACATAGCAGATTGTAAATTGGAGACTTCATTCCCTCACTAACACGCTGCCCGGGCAGCCATGAGTGCTCCCCGCTTAGTTAAAGCCATGGCTCAATCTTAATGAGAAGCTAAGAATTGGGTAAACTTGGTTTTTTGGCAGTGCAGTCCCAGATAAAGCAGGATGGTGAAAAACTAATGCAGCGCAGATGTGCATGAACTGAAAGGACATCCTGAAAAAAAAAAAAAAAAAAACCCAACAAAAACAACCAACCCAAATCTTAAAGATATTAAGCTCATCTCATTGTGCTTCTGGGCGAGCTACCCAGCAGGGCTGGACACTGTGCCTATGTGATGGGCACAGCTCCCAGGGGACTGTCACACACATTTAAGAAAGGTGGTCACTAGAGAGAAGCCAATATCAAACTTCGCTGCCTGTGAATGCCTTTTGCAGACTTCTGGTTGTGTCCATTTTATCATTGTTATAAGGTATCGCCAGCAATCCAACTAGCCTGTGATTACTTTTAGAGCTGTTCTAATCCCTTATGTCTCTGGTGTAACATGCTAATCACATTGAAGCGCATCACCTTCAACTGGAAAACAATCAGCTAATCCAGCTGTGTAACTTAGATCATCTAGGAAATTAATTTTCTCAGGTATTTTTCATAGGCTTTCAAGGTGTGGGGATGCAGGGTGGCTCAGCAGCGATACCCATACGAGGGTCAGGAAGAGGAAAATGTCACCTTCCCCATGTCATCCCAGGGACCATCAACACGCTTCTGTGCTGATCAAATTAACCATCTTCCAGCAAGAAGAGCAGTCAGGAGAGACGTGAGAGTGTACATCCCGGGGGCACGAAGCTCTCCAGGGTCATCTGTACAGAAATTTGCCTGAAGTCAGTAAATATACAGGTATTAAACCCAAATGCATATCCTTTCACATCCTGATCGAAGCAAAGGTCTTCTGCCATTTACCTAACGAGCGCTCAGGGTGTCCTCAAGCCATTTAAAACATGACCTGGAACTTTTAACCCAGGCTAGACTGCCCATGACACCACTAAAGCAAGGGTGTGAAATTTTTGGCTGCGCCACCCAAAATGCCATCTCCCTGGAAGTCCTCGTAACCGCTGCCCTGCCTTCCGAAGGCAAACATTGTGAGCGACAGGAGCGGAGTAAGTGCTTTGTGGATTTGGAAAGAATTCCTATTATGCTACAGTAATTCTGGTATCTGGGTTACATCTGAAAAAAGAGGTCAGGCTGACTTGAATTTTCCATGCACGCTGCCATAGCAAAGAAATCTGTTGCTTCAATTCCTCGTTAGCCGTTTGTATCACTCAGCAGCAAATAACCGAGCTTTTGAATTTACCTTATTAAGTTACATTTGTTGTGGGCACAGTGAAACCCAGGGCAGAAACATCTAATTCTTGGGGGATTTTCTTTCTCTTTTAATTGACCTGCTGTTTGATGGTAGAAAGCTGATGGATCATATAGGCAGCTGATTATGTTTCCAGGTTCTGTTCCAACTCCTGTATTTGCCACCGCCTCATTACTGATCAGAAGCACACTCCGCATGGAGCCGGCGTGCCGATAGCTCAGGCAGTAATGCGAAAATGAGAGGCTTTTTCATTTTGTTTTTATGGCTTTTCCACACTCGGGGGTAATTCACCTGCAGGGTAAAATTTTGACGTGTTTATAGAACTGGGGGTCTGTCACCTTTCGATCTTGTTTTGAGGAGGGAGGGGAAATAAGAGCAAGGCAGTTTTGGGGACCTACTTTGCTAAGTGAGTGTATGTGGCCAGGAAATGATGGAGAGATTTGGAAACGATGGAGATACTCACAGCACAAAGCAGCAAGGCTGGGGATGGGGTATGACCGAAGCAGGCACCGTGCCATGCTAAAATATCTATTGCCCGTGACAGTGTTCCTATGAGGAAAGATGAAAGCCAAGAAGGGGAAAAAGTGCTCCTGACCTCTCCATCTCCATCCCTCCCCAGCTGAAGGAACCATGAGGAAAGCGTCTCTGGGAAAGCACCTGAGCTGTGCGGGCAGCAGGTGAGAAGGAAGACGTAGGTACTTTTCATAGGGGAATTTCGTCTTCAGCTGGAAGCATTTCACCAGCAACCAGGAGAAGCTCTTGCCTTCTGCCCCAGCACCAGGTACGCGCTGGCATAAGGAGGTTCAGCTCCACAGGGTGAATTCAGCTTTTTGGCTGACATATAAAGCTCTTGCCCTGCAATCGTTTCCTAGCACAGCTCTAGGAAACCTGGCAGGAAAAAAAGAAATGAGGAGGCATTGGGAAGGTGGTGCATTAACTACTTTTTACAGCGAGAACTTGGGGAATATACTCCCCGTGGAAGGTTTTAATTGTCTTTTTAATATGGCTGTAATATACAATCTCTTAAAAATCTAATACTAACTTGTGAAACTTTTCCAGGCACTGGTTAGCTGCAAAAGATGTGACCTTTTTTTTTTTTTTTTTTAAACCTTATAAAATAGGCAAATACCAAGAGTTATTTGAATAGGGACAAACCATGCCAAGTCCTTACTGACACTCAAGTCTTTTTGCTTCTATCTGAACTCCTACCGGAGGGTGAAAAAGCTCTTGTGGAGCTCACAGACTTGCCCAAACAGCTTTGGGCCTGTTTACGGGCTTCAAGAGTAATTTCATTCCTCCCATTACAAGCTTTCATTTGCAAATGTTTACTGCTCCATGCTCAGGGGGAAGTCAGATAATCAGAAAAGAGATGTGCACCTTGGTAGATAGCACGGAGGCAAGACTGCATTAAACTCCCAACACTGATGGGACATTGGGTTTTTTGTCACCCCTTTAGGTGACAGCACCATGGGGGATGCCCAAATGACAGGAGAAGAGATTTCAGAGGTAGTACTTACGGCGAGGATGGCAATGAGGATGCCTGCAGCACACAGCACCACATCGTTGATTGTCTCCATCGACTTCAGCGGGTACCTGATGCTGTCGTCGTCGCAGTAGAAGCCCCGCTGGTAGGGCTGGATGGTACTTGTTTCAATGATGAGGAAGGGCAACCCGGCTAGAAAGAAGGGGAGACAATAACCAAGCCCATCAGCAATACAGGCAAATACAAACAACCCACCAAAAAACCCACAAAACCAAACAACAACCTAGAAAACCCCTTGAAAACCACGCAGCACCATTCCTGGTACTTTTCTTTTCATATTGCTATCTTTCCAAAGGGATTTGTTTTTCCAAGTTGCTCTTGCAGGGAAAAAGCATCTCCCCTGTTATGGTTATCAGATGTCCGCACTGCCTGGTTTCAGTTAAGCCTCGTGCATTACAAATATTAACTTGCAGGAACGGACCCCTAAAGCAATCCCTCTGCAAAAAGCCATGAAAATGAATCTGGCACTTGTCTCCAGGGACAGACAGAGCACCCCGTGGCAGGGCAACCCAGGCCTGTGCAAACAAACACTGGGGGATCCAGTATCAGCAGAGCTTCTACTACTTGCTCAGCCCAGCTATGCTCCATCCCCATCACTTTCATACCTTTGAAACCTTCCTTGGCTCCCTCCTCTCTATTTTCAGGGTCTACGTGCTTTTGTACCTACTAATGCCATAAGACTCTGTGAACAGCTGTGAAACACCCATCCTTGACCCATCCACACAAGGAGAACCTGAGCACGTACCCAACCAGCCCATCCACAGGAGCTGCTGAACTCCCACCAGAGCCTGTTCGCCTTTGATCACATTAAAGCCGTGTGAAATCTCCTTTTAAACGCTGCTGGTGAACCCTCTGTGCAGGAGACCTGCATCTGCACAGCTCGACTGGACCTTTGCACCAGGCATGGAGCAGATCTGCTCAAAAACACAGGGTGATGGGGGAGGACATACACTATGGGGGGGACACCTCGAAATCGCTGCATGTCTGTAACTCCATATTCTTCTAAGCCTTTCAGAGAAATACAGCATTGCCTTAAACCTGGAAGGAGAGCCCTGGGGTATTTCCCAGCCCTGATGCTACCTTGGGCAGGGCACCCTCCTTCCCTTTGCCTCAGTTTCCCCATCCATCTTTGCTGTTAAGCCCATCACCAAGAGGAGCAGTACATACCCACCAAAACAAGCCCCAGATTCCCTGAAACCCGTGTTCAGGGTAAATCACAAACCACAAGGTACAGGAAACCCTCCTCCCACTTGCAGAGCGAAACCCAGGCAAGAGGAAAACAAATTCACAGCGGTTCAAACTGTACTTGGGCCAAGACAACAGGACTCACACCCAGATCCTACAGAAAGCACTAGGGAATACTTTTCAACCACAGCCTTACTTAAGGATTTGTGGATTGGTTTACACAGAGAGAAGTCTCTGACATATTAGGTTTTTCCTTCTAAAAATTAAAAAAATAAAAAATGAAGCACTGTTGGGTCTGAGCAAAATTTGTCCACGTTTTGGTGATCACGATCTGCTAGATGTGTTTAGCAAAGTTACCATCCAAGTTGTTAAAAAGTGTCATTAAAATAATGTTCCCCATCTCCACGTGAACCACTTTCTGTATTTCACTTTCTGCAATCCATTTTTGGCTCCTTTTCCTATATGTTAATAGGCTTGCCTAATCCAGGCTTATTAGCAGGTTTTGTTAGTCTTAAGAAAAAGGAAAATCTCTATCACCTGTGAGCCGGGACAACTATGCACAGACCTGAAACCTCTCAGGTACCCAAGAGGTGCCACAGCACAGCTCAGGACACTTTTCAGATCCTCTCTAAAAACTCTGGGAATGGGTTGATGGCAAGCACTGGGCCTCGCGGTGCTTGGCAGGGCAGGATGGTTTCCACTACATGTGTGAACCAGTGAGGAAAGGTTTCAGAACTGCCTGCCCAGCTCAGATTTGGTAAATAAAATCAGACATCTCGTGTGAATCCAGTTGATCTTCATTCCACTATTTAACCGTTTTGATGCGTAGCCAGCTTGGCCCCAAAACGTGCCTCTGATGCCAGCAATCCAATATTAATAGGCCACTTAAAAAATCCTTAAGTTTCCCAATGAAAAATTGCAGGAGAAGAGCTAACGTCGCTCGGCGCGATCCTATTTCACATGCACTTGAAGCAGCAGCGTAACAGTTGAACTCGGGGAGTAGACATGCCATGGTTACGTGGCTTATTGTTATTTCTCCAGTTCCTCTTGTTAATAGCTTTCACATGACAGGTCTGTAAAACACATGTTCCCACAGACAATAAAACACATCTGAAAGCTAAAACTGGCTTAAAAAAAATAAAAAAGACAATAGTGTTCCTATATATTATGTGAACCCAGGAATAATAAAGATTTGTTTTCCCTTCATTCATTGAACAGCATGGGGTAGTATTTCCGCGTTTCAATTATATGTACGCTCGCCACAGCTATAATAAGAGCAGAACTGACCTATATGCTATACATTTTCTTAAAGTGCGTATAGGCATAGTTTAGAAAATCCAATGGTTTTGTTTTCTCTCCTACAAACTTGTGGTTTAGCGGGATATTGCCAATCGAGTCTTGACATTTTTCCAGCAAAACAGTAACCTCAGATTCCCTTTTTTTCTTTCCTTCCCCCTTTTTTCTAACATGAGAAACATAAACATACTCTCCATAGCTGAACGGATATTGCTTAGAAGACATAACATGCCCTTGATTTCGAGGGCTGGGTGAGACTGCTCTTTCAGCTGTAATTATCCAAGGAACAGAAGATCCCAGCCCATGGCAAATGGTAAGTCGTGCTCAAGATGGCTCTTCTTCCAAAAGGTTATTTCTTGGAGGATGGGTTGTCCAAGTGACTAGGTCACCACCCACATTTTTTTTGGCAAGGGGCTTCCAGCACGGAGAAGCCTGTAGCGGTGCCAAAAGGCAGCCAGAGAATGGGTTTTGCAGAAAAACACTAGAGAGGGAAGTTTGGAAGAAGACCGAAAATTAAATGTGGAGAGAGATGCCTTTGGGATCCCTCAGCAAAACACCACAGAGACATTATTCACATTAGGAGATCTGCCAGAGGTGAAGGTATCCAGAACTGGGGCTACAGCCCACACGTCCTTGGGTTGTACCTACCAGCGTAGGGTTGTACCATGAAGATGGTACATCTGGCTGCATCACTTCTGCCCCACTCTACCTCTCTGATCCAGTGTTTTAATAAGAAATTCAGATTATGCATCCCTGGCTGCACTGATTTGCATCTACAAATCCAACAGCTGAACTCCCGTAAGGGTGCGAAGTTTTCAATCTCCACCACTTCCCATCCCTACCCATGGTACAAAACTGTTGAAAATGCAAGAGGTATACTTCAGAAAACAGTAACAAATGGTGACTTCATTGAAGTGAGCAATAGATGCACACAGCAGGCAAAAAATTACACAGGCTTTGGGATGGTCACTTTCCTCCAAAGCTGGTCCTACTTGGCCATTCTGTCTGTGGCTACAACTCACCTATGTGTACAGACCACCTCCAAAATCTTGAGTAAAACTGTAGAAAGGCCTCACGTCGTTCTTAATACTGGTATCTCCATGCTGAGAAGTTACACAGCAGCTTGTGGACCGTACCCTAAGGCATGGAGGCAGCCCTGGCTCATCCATACAGGACTGTGTAACCAGAGAAGAGCTATTATCCCCATTTCACAGACAGAGGAAACCAAAGCATAGAACAAAAAAGGGATTTGCCTATTCTGATGCAAAAAACAAAAAGGTAATTGGAGCTGAGATTACCTTCTGAATTGTAACATCCCTCCCAAGGTGAAGGAAAGGGTTTTTTCCTTACACAAAGGGGATTTTTTTGCTTTAATAACAGAAGAAGAAAATCCCAACCGCATGCTTTTATCTAATTATGCTGTAGGAGATCAAACAGGGCTCCAAACCATGAGAATCACAACAGAAACCTCTTGGGGGCTGATCCTGCCTCATCCAAGCCCACAGGAGTTTTGCCATGGGGTCCATGGTATGAAAAGTGGCTCGGCTCCGAGGGGCACAGAGCAGGTGTGGACACTAACGAATTGTGCAAGGCACCACGGGATGCTGCGGGGCTGGACAGTGAAAAATTATGTTGCTTTTGTTGGGAGGAAGTCCAAGTGACTTGGTGACCTCTAACCGCTGGTGTCCTACGCTAAGATATTTCAGTGTAGGGTTTAAATTTGTCTTTCTATTTCATAAAGCCAATCAAGTTTGGAAATCTAGCACCAAGGAAAAAATATTCCTTTCCTTGGTCAGCACCTTTATTCAGAAGCAATTAACAGGCAATAATCCTGGGAAGGCTGGCAGCATGAAAGCTAAAACCCCACCACCAAGCCTAAAAAAAAAAAAAAACCCTTGCAAAACCCCCACGTGCTCTCTGACCAGCTTGAAATGTGCATAAAATCAAAGGTAGAAGAAAGGGCTCTGTGTCGGGTACAGCACTTTGAATCTCGAACTCTTTGAAAAGTTAATGCTTGTGCAGATTTAATGGGGTAAAAAAAAAAATTTAAAAAGGGGATATGCTTTCCTTGGCCACCCATCAGAAAAGCTGCGGAGGGAGCAGGAGCGGAAAAGTAGTTTCTGCAGTGACCCACCCATGCAGCTCTCATCTTCCCAGCCCAACCTCCACCTTTGCACTAAAATAAACACCATCTTGCTATTTTTATTTTTTTTAATGTTTGGTTTTGATGGAGGTTGGGTTTTTTTTTTTCCCCCCACTAAATCTTTCTTCTCTCAATGCTGCAGGTCAGTGGGATGTTGCTGGCTATCTCACCAAAGCAATGGTAATTTCTAACAAGCACTCTGTGATGCATTTGGCTGCCGGTGTCCAGGCCCCAGGCGTGTTGTTAAGGTTTCAGTAGATTAGACATCCAGCTTAATAAGTGAAAAAGATCATGAAATAATTTGGCAGGGCTGAGCGGGACATCCAATTCCTCATTCAGGACACACTCGGTAAATATTTGGGTACCTGCAAGCGATGGGCTTTCTATTTGAAGTACTTAGTGGCTGATCTCAGCTACATGTAAACCTTGTTTGGTTCACAATATTTGTACATATTTTAAAATGCATAAAAACTAAATTAACCTATGATAGGCTTTACAAGTGGGATTC